TCCACTAATCTCACCTTTAATTGGACAGGAATTAACAATTCTTCTCCTAATTCTATCAAAGCTAGCGGCCCGACAACTTGTTACGGGTTGGCTTTTCTGACGGTAGGTGGCATCTTTGATTATATCGTTGAATTTATTTTGACATTTCCTATAATTCTGCATGGTAGTTTGCTGATTTCTCACTCTCTTCTGTCTGCTGTAACTCAGGTGCATGCATTGGATTGTCAGTTGTACTATTAACTTATAACCAATATGAGATATTAGAGTTTATTCTAATTAGTGCGAAAGTGTCAGTTCTTGTGGACAACTATTGTCTGCGTTTCTAGTTTGTCTGTGGTGTCCTGAATATTGACACCTGTGGTCGCTGCTCCTAAACTTTGTTATTTTCGTTAGCTTCTTCCAACCATAAACCTGGCGACCGTAATTTGTGTCAGTATAGTTTGGTTAATCTCTAAGCCTCTTCAACCTTTCCTTTTTTAGCTCAACTCTACTAGCTCGATCCCCCTGTCCATCCTGTCTTGGCGTCTTGTTGACTTCACAGAAGTTCCGGATAATCGGACGGGAATTCTTCAAGTAACATTCAAAAGTGAGGGCTCCCGTAACAAGCGGTATTTCAAGAGCAAAGGATATGTTTCGCTTACTGTAAGTCGTGTATTTTGGTTTCTGCAACCATTTTCTATTTTTCGACAGAATATAATTAAGTTATTTAATCAGTTCTTTCTGTTCCTACTGCATTTTCCAGACTCCTGGTACATCTAATTTATATCTAATAAAACTTGATTTTCTTTGGGGACAGTAAACTTTTATGCAGCACAAGGCCACACAATTAAACATACAAGTCGGCCCCAAAATGCGTTACTGTGCCTATTGTAACTTCATTCGCTTCCTGCAATTCAGCACTGCTTTTCGTGTGTGTGGCTGTTGCCTTGTTCTTGAGCCTTAGGTATTCGCTGCCCGTCTTAAGCGAAAAGAATGGATTTGACTTTCCAGGTTTTCTGCAGCGTATCGTCACGCATGAATAGGTACAAGTTGGGATACCATCTAGGTCGGCTCGATCAGTTATGATCACAACTGTGGCCTGAGGACCATCCTTCGAGTGAAGTATACCGACTTCGTCTCAAATGAGACAGCTCACACTCGCTGCGGCAGTATCGCAAAGATATCTTAGGTCATCCAGGAAATAGGACACGTTCTCCGTTGTCTGCCTCATGAGCTTTGTTGTGCTGCCCTCGATCCGGCGCCGCAACCCACCTGGCGGCGTCAGAGAGGAAAGCAATTCAAGACTCGGCTCGACACCGTTCGCCAGGACATGGAAGCGTTTCTTGGAACTCCGCCATTCTGTTTCCGTCGTTGGAGAAGAAAGTGTTGAAAGTTCCCAGATCAGATCGTCACGCGTGACACCATTGATATCGACTGGATCAGGTATGGTTAGCCGTATCAAGTACAAATACGTTGAGGCTGTTTCCACTTCAGCGCTTCCGATGAGTTATGCACGGTTGGTTGCTCCCGTAACTATTTCATTCTTGTCTCGTCTTCGGGTGAACTGTTTGTCCCAAGGTAACACCAGCTGACGACTGACTGTCATCAGTCTTTGACTTTATGTTCAGTTTTATTTCCGTTGCCTTGGTGCTTATCCTATGCAAAGTACGATGCAGTTCTACGAATAGCTGGGGATTAGTAGCCATCAACTTGAAGAAGTGGACAGCTTTAATTACCTCGGACGCGGCTGCTACCGAATTGGCAGAGCAAGGACGACATCGTCTCCCGTATCGATGCTGCCCTCTGGGTTTTCTCAATCCCTCAAAAGCGCCTATAGATCCGACCTGAAATCTCCACCGCCTCGAAGATTCGTGTATATCTTACATCCATCCGGTCAGCTCCTCTATGGATGTGAATGCTGGGCTGTGCGCGCTGAAAATGAGCGAAGACTGGAGGTCTTTGACAACTGGTGCCTGAGGACAATCCTGAGAGTTAAGTATAGCGACTTTGTCTCAAATGAGATAGTCCGCACCCGCTGCGATCGTATGACGAGGATATCTCAAGCCATACAAGAAAGGTGACTGAGGTATTTTGGACACGTTCTCCGTCGTCCGCCCCACGAGCTTAGCTATGCTACCCTTGACCCAGCGCCGCAGCCCACCTGGGAACGTCGAACAGGAGGGCAACTGAAAAATTGGCTTGACACCGTCCGTCAAGACATGGAAGCAGTTCTTGGACCTCCTATCTTCGGTCTCCATCGCTGAAAAAGAGACTGGGTGGAGCTTTCCAGATTCGTTGCCGCCAATCGTCACGCATGGAGAGGTACCGTTCGTAATATCATTAAGGCCGGCTAAATCAGGTATGATCACAGTCGTAACAAGTACAAGCTACGAATAGCTGTCCACTAACGTTTTCTCCATTGTGGCACATTTCCATAACGCGCAGATACCAACCGACCGTAAAGGGTGGGAGGTGATCTGTCGGCGTGTGTTCAAGAACTTTGTTTATCGTACCGAAGGCCACGTCCAGAAAATAATTCTGGCCATTCACTTGGACTTCGGTCCACAGAGTAAGCTGCTGCTGCAAAGGCATGGTGTGAATTCGTCAGGGGCTTTTAAAAAAGTCAAATTCCACCAACGGCAGTTTGGCCATCAATTCTGACAATATCTCCGCATCTTGTCTCCCAGTAAAGTTGCCATAAGGACAGTGACTTACGCATGAATTAGTCTATAGTGATAGTGGACTTTCGTAGCATCTACCGCACCCTCCTTCCTGGCCCATCTTAGCACGGTGGCAGAACACGATCAACGAGACCGATGGCGAGATAGAGCGTATGTGGCTTGAGCCTGCGCCTAAGCCTGCCTGTGTGGGGCATTTGTTATAGAGCCCGCGTCCCTAATAACGCCTGTCGTATCGGGATCCCCTTGTGTTAATACCCGTAGTTACGTCGTACGCCACAGGTGCCTGATGGACTTAACATTCCGAGTTTAGGCTCTCTTTTCCAGGGCCGATGCCAGTGGTGATGGATGTCACCCCCACCCCCTGGTGACAGTTGTTCTCCCGGGTGCTCGTGACAGTGATTTTAATTCTGTATATTCGACCTATGAGCAATACTCACAGCCTACTCTAATTCCCCCCCCCTCTTTAGGTCAATCTCGCCATGCGGACGGTGCGAAAACAATGAGTTTTAATCATACGACATTTATCAACCCTCTCCAACTCTCGTATTTTCATTATCAATGTAAATGTACAGACCCCATGATTAATTGCCGAAAAACATATGCCTGCCTAATAGATTCTCAAAGTAAAACATTGGACTTTTTGCGAAATTCTGAGCCCTGTTGAATCTTGACCGAAGTGGAAAGTGTCATTGGTCGAAAGCAGTAAAACGAGACCTGTCTTCGCACTGTGTATACCAGGAGAGATAAAGTGAAATATCCTTATTCGCGATTTAGACGTCTCACATCTCTCCATAGCCAGTTGCAACTGTACGCGCCCTGTCAGCTAACCCTAGCGTCTTTTACCATTGTAAAGACAGTCTACACAGTCTTGGTAGAGAGGCTGATGGAATAAGCACCTCATGGTGTAGGAGGATCTGGAACCCGTTAGGCGACCCTGTGTATGTGTGTCGTCCCCATATACGCGGGGGTCTGTCTAGCGAGATGTGCTGTTAATACGCGTATTGAGTGTTGGTCGCGCCAGCCGCCTGCCCCCCATGTCTGGTCTTATTGACTTCTGTCTTTACATCGACCACACGTGTGGTAGTGGTCAGAGAGTGGGGTAGATCCAGCGAGTCTACTTTCATTATAATTCAGCTGTACTCACCGCGTCTGCCTTCAGTTTGCTGAAGCCTGTGGTGGACATTGTCGAGAGCGGCGGTCGAAATTTCCTTCACCAAGAGTGATGCCCGCGTTCGCCCTCACACATCGCATTTGTTTGCAGACGGTTATCTTTAGCAGGCTGGCAACTTATTTTTTTTCAATTTCTGCATCTCCAGTTCTCCTTCTCCACACGGAACTCGCATGCCAGTCACCCACCTCACATCTTCTCCTATGCGGGTCTCTCAGTGCTTGTGGACTTTACGGTGACGAGGCTGATTGACGAATATGCCAGTGCACCCCTCTCCCTGCAAGCGGCCTTCTTCGCCGCCAATGAGAGCTTGGCTGGAGGGGAGGAATTTCGGGCTTCGAGGGTCACCACCATCAATGATGAACTCACTCCCGGTGTCTTTGAGGTAGGGCCTTTCTCCTTGATTGTTCTCTCTCACCAACGCAGTTCCGATTTTTCGGTTCTTGCTTCATGCGGTAACCCTTTTAGGTCGACTATGCGCCTTATCGTGGGGGGGGGGAAGAAAGGGTGTGGCTAATAAGGTTTATCTGTTTTACTGTTACAACTATGTGCGCGACTTGCAGCTTTTTACTTTCGCCTCGCTTACTTGCTTGATCCGATTAGCTCCTGTTGTTGAATGAATCGGCTTCACGGATAGCGGCGGCTGCGATCGGAAGCGAGCTCCTCGCAGATATCAACCAAGCGCTTGTTCCATTATCGCAAGCCATAAACGGTTACAAGGCCCATGCGTTCTACGGCCGGCTTAGTGTTATACGTAGAACTAGAGTTTTATGTAAATAATTTGTCGAAAATGACAAAGGAGAATGGAATGGCCATTTCTGGCTTATTAGCCGTCGTCAGCCAATCATACCCAAACCCAAGTGGTGCATCGCCTGGGCCTCGAACTCGCGACCTTTTTATCAGGGTCTAAAGCTCTAATTATTGAGCCATGAACTCGTCTTACCGATTTAGATCGGATGATATTGACACTAGTCGATGAACAATTTTTGCTATCCCTGCGGCCCAAATCCGATGGAAATCGATAGAACAACAGTTGAAGCGTTGGACATTCAACCAGCAGTTCAGTTCGCGCCTCGGGGTTTGACGGTCGGGTTGGCTGGTGATAACTAATACGCCAAAAAAGGGTCATTACAGTGGCCGGTGTGTAGATACGCATCTTTTTTTAGGGCTGTGGTCTGTATGCACGTCCATCCGATAACTGACGATGGTCTGATGCTGCCGGTGGGGAAGAGAGTTAGGTCGACGGCTCAGCGC